AACATTTTGAAATTATGTCCTATTCCTCTTCATGTTGAGCAACTTGGCGACTTTTAAAGGAACTTTACTAAGAATAGGTGAATAGATACTTTTTTTTATTTATGATTATTATTTTAAAGATCAACAATTTCTGATGTGGCCTGTGGGTTTTTTTTTTTTTAATTAAACAAGATTACAAATATGAGAAAAAAGAGAGTCAAACCCAACTCTCAGATGCACCTCACAAACCAATTTATAACCGTTGGCGGTGAAGCCTCAGGTCGTTGCCTGTGGGTTTTAATGCAAACTATTTGGTCGTCTCTTATATACAGTAAAAAAACAACTTTCGGTCTAGCCAATAGCCTTAGGTGGTCATTTTCGAAAAAAAAGAAAAGAAAAAAACCTTAGGTGGTCAAATGATAATTCTTTTGGATTTTTTTAATTTATATATTTAAAATATAAGTTAAACAAATCTTTAAATAAAAAAAATAAAATATCCATGTAGTGTGGTGAGCAAAGCGGTGGAAGGGCCACTACTTTTCGAAAATGAAATAGTGTCAGGAGGTATTTTAAATTTACAATATATTTTTATATAATTAATTTTTTATTAAAAACTTATTATAATATTGTATATTTACCTGATAATTTAAACAAATCTTTAAATAAAAAAATAAAATATCCGTGTAGTGTGGTGAGCAAAGCGGTGGAAGGGCCACTACTTTTCGAAAATGAAATAGTGTCAGGAGGTATTTTAAATTTATAATATATTTTTATATAATTAATTCTTTATTAAAAACTTATTATAATATTATATATTTACCTATTTGATAATATATTATATACTTATTTAAATTTGATTTTAAAGTGTTATTTTATAACTATAATGTAAGTTATTTTAATCTTTTAATATTATAAAAATATATAAAATATATTTAATATTTTATATATTCTTCAGATTAAAAAAAACCACACACTTTTGTTGTATTGAAATAATAATAAAAAATATTTACAAAATATACTATACATTAAAAATTCAATTCTTTCTATAAAATTATTAATTATATTTTTACATATAATTTGTATTATATTACATGAATATCTTAAAATAAATATAAATAGTAAATAAAAAGCCGCCCTCTCATTGACTACGCCATTGTCGCTAACGCCGGGAATACTTCTGCTTTTTCGAGAAGAATCTCGGTTCCGGAAGTTTCCCCTCTCTGCCCTTTGTTTATGCACTGTTCGGCAGCTTGACTGGCTTCAATGGCGGAGGTAGAGGTTGACTCAAGACCACCACAATCTAGAGACGAGGAAGCTGAAGTCAAGAATGTTGACGATAATAAGAATGAGGACAAGAAAAACAGGAGGAGGAGGAGGAAGGCTTCGTGTTGGCCAAGATTTGGATGCTTCAAAATGGAGGCTGACGACGGAGGTGGAGTTGATTCGGCGGTTGATTTTGCCGGAGAGCGTCGCAATCCTACTCACCTCGTTATCATGGTTAATGGAATCATGGGCAGGTGGTATTATCACATTATTTGAGTTTCATGATATGATATTCAAAGTGCTTGTTTGTAGTGTGTTGATTAAGAAATGAATTCGTTTCTCTCTTAATCTCTTTTTTTTGGGTTTTTGTTCAGTGCCCAGAATTGGAAATTTGCCGCAAGGCAGTTTCTGAAGGAGTATCCGGATGATCTTATTGTTCACCGTGAGTTCCCATCAATTCAATTTTACAATTTTCTTTTAACAGTGATTAATGTGATAATGTCAACTTAATTATTATGTTCATACCTTATTTTATTATGGATTTATCTAACCTATGCTATAAGGGCACAGGTGGTGTAATTAATACAGCTTTTTGATATTAATTGGTATAAAAAATAACAAAAACTGATGTTAGTTTTATCACTAATGCTACATTTATTGTTTTAATTGGACGGTTGATTAAATAAATATCAAATTTTAACTTTTCAATGAAAATTAGTGCTAAAAAGTTTTTTTTATTTTTTGTTTTTGGGGCCCTGTTTGGAAAAGGCCTTTTTTTTTTTTTTTTTTTTTTTATTATTATTATTGTGATTGCTGTTCTGTTCCTCTAGCTGAACTTTATTATTCATTTCTTTGGAAGGGCAGCTCAATACATGGTAGTGGTGTAGAAATTTAATGAATTTAACTGACAGCTTATGTTCCATCCCAAGATAGAATAATGCTTAAGTTTTATTAGCCCTTGACAAGGCTTACTCACTGTACTTTAGTTGAGTTGCCTTTTAATTCTGAGGCTAAGCTCATGGGTTCAAACCTCTGGAAGGTAAGCACTAACCTATTTGCTGATCAGAAAGGGGTTTTTGATCACGCTTTGCTTCTTAAGGCACAATACTAACATCAAATACATTGATTGTATAATTTTGATATTAGGTAATGTCAGTGGCTCCTATGGTGTAATGATTATCATGCAATTCTTGTTCAATGCAGGCAGTGAAAGTAATTGCCAAATGTTGACTCTTCATGGTATTGATGTAATGGGAGAACGACTGGCAAATGAGGTGCTTTTTTCCCCCTAAAACTCAAAGACTAGCTGTCTTTCCTTCTTCCTTTGGAAGCAATTATTTTCCTTTTTTGCACCAGGCTAGTTTGTTAGGTGCACCCAACACCTTGGCAATGACCAAGGTTCAAGCCATGGCACTACTATGCTAAAAATTCCCCATCCCCCTACCCCCAAATTGTACCTATTCAAAAAAAAAAAAAAAAAAAAAAAAAACCAGTTTCCTTTTTCCAAATTTTGGTCATAGCTTAGAACCATGAATAGTTTTTTTAGTGTGGTTTTCTTTTCTCTTCTTGTTTTTAACTCAGGCTCTTATAATTGAACCTCCAAAAGCTCAATGGTAATGTTTCGATTGAGGTTGCCACAGCACTAAGTATATTGTTTCTTTCAGGTTGTGTCAGTCATAAAACGTCATCCAAGTGTTCTAAAGATATCATTCATTTGCCACTCATTAGGTGGCCTGATAGGAAGGTATGCCATTGCACGGCTCTATCAACCAGATGTCACAAGGGAGCTTTCTCAAGGAAATGGAGCTTCTAGGAGTGATCATGAGGGATATTCATCGCCAGAGGGGAAATTCGGAGGAAAAATTGCTGGACTAGAACCCATGAACTTCATAACTTCTGCAACTCCTCACCTTGGTTCATGGGGGCACAAACAGGTTATGCATTTCAGTTGCTTCTTTATGTATGATCATGAGTTTTTTCAAGACATCTTCTGATAGTTTTCTGCTCTCTCTAATCCTGTTTGTTGGTGAGATGCAAACCTTTTGGGTTAAACTTTTAATTAATAAGTTGCTTTTAATAACATATTTTCTCTCTGGTGATTTTGTGTTATTCAGGTTCCAATATTTTGTGGATTTTACACACTGGAAAAAGGTGCTACTCATACATCTTGGTTTCTTGGTAGAACTGGAAAACACTTGTTTCTGACTGACAGAGATAAAGGACAACATCCACTTCTTCTTCAGATGGTCAGAGATTGTGAAGATCTTAAATTTATGTGTGTCCTCTCTCCTCATTAACTCATTATATATATTATAAATGTATATCAGATTCTAGTTGTGGATTACAGAATTTTTCCTCTCAAGTCTTATCCATTATTATTTCTTATAATGGCAGCTCTGCTTTGCGGGCCTTCAGGCATCGTGTTGCATATGCAAATGCACGTTTTGATCATATCCTCTTTTTATGAAAGTAAACCAAATAGCTATATTTTTTCTCTTTCAACCTAATTTTTCAAGTATCTATCTTGATTGATGTTCAAGAAAAAATAGTTTACAGCTTAGCTGTTTGTGGATCTAACAGTGTTAGGCACTCTGATGATTTATTGCTATTGCAATGACTGTTAGTCCCTTGACACTTTTCTTAGACATTGTAGGATGGAGTACATCATCTATACGACATCAGAATGAGCTCCCAAAGGTAATGAGGGAAGCATTTCACAGTTTGCTTTTTGCAGATTTTAATTGTATCAGGAGTTTATTTTACTTCAACCTTTTTTCTTTTTCCTTTTTTTTATCAGATTAAACATCTTCAAGGATCTGACAAATATCCACATATTGTAAACATAGAGGTATCCAAAATTTCCACTTCTGATGAAGAACCTTTGGAGGCCGAAACCAATGGATGCAATAAATTAAACATGGAAGGTTTGCTTTTTGAGGTCTTCTTAAGTTTGTTTCCTGTTTAACTTTGGGTTCAACTGGTTTGTCATGTTGACTAAAACTGGATAATCATTAATAAGCACAAATATTTTGAAAAGAAAATATCCCAGGGGAATTTCACCACCATGCACAATTTCACTCTTTCTTTTTTAATATATGGAAGGAATTGCAAAGTGCCAAGGGTAGAGTGTGATTGGTTATACGTCAATAAAAAAATTGGTTTCTAAAAATCATTTTCCTTATATATAGAAGGTTGTTTTTTTGTTTTGAGTTCTTATAATTTAAATGCCATCACTTTTTTGATAGAAATATGACTGTTTTGTGTAAAATACTCTGAAGACTCTTTAGACTATCATAGCTTTTTGGCCACCAAGGGACTATCTGATTTAAGGTCAAGGTTTTTGGAAGTTTCACAATATAAAACCTCATATGAAAATGTTTATTTTGAGCGCCAGCAAAACTGAAGTGGACCAACATGGCCAGTCACTCCATCAACAACTTCTATTAGCTTTATGTCTTGGCATTTTTGCATGTTATGAGCTCTAGTTGATGATAATAATGATGAACTAGTTAAAGCTTCACGGACATATATAACTGTCACTTTCCCATAATTGCAGAGGAAATGATCAGGGGTTTAACAAAAGTAAGCTGGGAAAGGGTTGATGTTAACTTCAAGGGAAGTAAACAACGATTTTTCGCACACAATACCATTCAGGCAAGTTATCCTTAGAGAATCATTGTACTGAAAGGAGATGAATTTGAAGGCCTTGATCCCTTTTAACCTAATTCGAAGTAATTGGATTTTCACCTCCTGGAGAGTGGGCCGTTTAACTGATGGTTTACATTGTCCTTCTCTTTCTATGCAGGTGAAAAGCTACTGTATTAATTATGATGGAGCTGATGTGATCCAACATATGGTGGACAATTTTCTCTTATAAGAGGCTCCAAATCAATTTATTCGCGGTAGCATGTTGGATGGTAGGAACAACACTAATGTAAGGTTACTCTCATCAGCTGGTAGCCAAGGCAGGGTTGGGAGGAACCGAAGAGGCATTAAAGTGCATCCCCAGGGAGGGACAGCCAAGACAAGCAAGTCGGAGTTACACCGTATGTTCTTTCATTAAATTTAAGTATGACAAGGAGATAGAGAAGGAGTGCTCTTGGTGGAAGTCTTCTGCAAGGAAGGCATCAATACATGAATGAACGAGAATTTATATAGTGCATTAGGTAATGGAGATAAGTTTTTTCTTTTGCCAGCAGCAATGAAGAGAAGTTTTGAAAAACCTTGTGATAATAATTAAAAGATCTCTTCTACTCATGAGGATGTACTAGTTTTCTGGTCTGTCTGTCAGGTGCCACGCTCGTTAGAACTAAGACGACGTATTGTTCAAACTTTGCAATATCCAATTGTATCCGAAATTCCCAATATACGTGTATTGGATCACTTTTAAGTAATTTATTAATTCTGTTAATGTTAATGTTCCAAATCTATTTAGCTAATTTTAAACTCTTGACTCTATATTCAAGCTTGAATTTGCAATAAGTTGTCAGCAAATAGGCCTGCTTGGCAGAATTCAAGTTTGAGATTGCATTTTTTTGGGTTTGTATGATGCTCCACTTCCATTCCAAATTGATTTTTCCCTGCCCTGCTGCTGGATCTTGATTCAGTCTTCCATAATCCCCCAAAAGGCCGGTCTAGCAGAATAAAGGGTAGCTGAAATCCAATAGAACTTCTCTTGATGGTTTATGGACTTTTTTCATAAAACATGTCAATGTTAATTTTTACTGGCATTTTTCAATTTGGTAGGTTATGGAAAGCCATGAAGTAGTTAGAACTTACAACCCACCATAAGCAGAGTACAGAGGGTTGCCCTGTCACAGGGCCAGGATGGGAGTTGCAAGTAAAAATAATTCCAGTGTCCCCACAGTACTTGAATGCAAACTTAACTTGCAGTTTCCATTCATGGTTCGTTCATTCATAGCATATCAACCATTCCCCTCTATTATATGTTGAGACGAGTGTTGGGGAAAGGGAGTGCCATCCCTGTTCATTATCAAACGTTTAATTAAAAAAAAAAAAAAAACTAATAAAAAATGTATTATTCCTCTATTCCCAGAGTGGAGGCGTTTTGGCGTGTTGAAGTGGAAATGCCCAGACCCCCGGCCAGAGGAAAGTCAAACCTAGGAGACAAATTGAAAGCAAAAAAATATGACTAGGTAAAAGAAAACCCAGAAAGGTAGAAACCCCATCCCACCTGTAACATCTCACTTTTCTAGAAATATTTCTACCATTTCATGTTTGTGTAATCTCTTTTCCTTGGTTTTTTTGCATTGTCTTCTTTCAGTCTCCGGTCTTCCCTTATATTATTCGCTGAATTGCTGTGCCGTCCATCCTTTCTTTTCTTGCTCTTTTGCTGCGACAGTCCTTTTCATGCTTGTTTATTTGTGGTTTT